CACTCCAGTCTGGGCGACAGAGTGAGACTCCAACTCAAAAAAAAAAGAAAAAAAAAAGATTGAAGTGTTTAGTGAAGAGCTTTGCATCATTTCATTCCAGAAGAATCCTTCCCATCTGCTTAGAACAGTATAATGTAGCCCATAGCTTTTTAAAAAAATTAACCAAAGAACCATATTGGCTGGGAAATCTCTGGCTGTGGGAATCCAGAAAACATCTTCCGCATTTTGTGCCAAAGTGGAAACAGCTCTCAGTTTCAAGTCATTGGCTCTGTTGTAGACATTGAATTTGAAAGCCATGGTAATCTTATTTCTGTTAACTGGGGAAGAATTCAGCATGTTGCTGGGCCAAAGGCATGAAATTTTATGTTCATGTGAAGAGTATTCCGTGATTTAAAAAACAGGACATTTTCAGTTCAACTTTCCTTAGCCCTCCTAATTTATAGTTTTACCACAACTTTGATAACCAGGACTGTTGATAGTTCTTTTCACTGGTTCCAGGTGAATTCATTCCAGGGACCCATCTGACCACCCTGACCAAATGGACTGTAATCTTTGGGGGAGGGGGCCAGGAATTGGTCCATTTTTCAGTGCTCGAGAGGGAGTTCTATAAACTATCATTTCCCAAACTTCCCTGTTGAGAATCACGTTATTCTTGTTGGTATATCAGAATTCATAGGGCATGGAGCCAGGAATCTTTTAAACAAGTCCTCCAGATGACTTTCTTACTCAGGAATTTGAGAAACACCAGGAGACCCAGCACTTCATACAGAATGAACCGTGGCCCACCTGCCTGCATTGCCCACCTGGAGAGGTTCATAAAATATGGACTTAGCCGGGCATGGTGGCTGATACCTGTAATCCCAGGACTTTGGGAGGCCAAGGCAAGAGGACTGTTTGAGCCCAGAAGTTTGAGACAAGCCTGGGCAACAGAACAAGATCTCATCTCTGCAAAAATTTTAAAAAGTGAAGGCAGGTGTGGTAGCACGCATCTGCAGTCCCAGTTCCTCGGGAGATTGAGGAGGGAAGATTGCTTGAACCCAGGGGTCTGAGACTGCCATGAGACATGATCATGCTACCGCACCTCAGTCTGGGCAACAGTGAGACTCAAGAAACAAAACAAACCCTACAGACTTGTGATCCTACCCCATGTCCACTGAATCTGTTTCTAGGGATGATCCTGGAAATCTGCGTTTCTAGCAACTCCCCATCCGACTCAACGCTCACTGGAACTTGTGATCCACTTTAGTGTTCAACTCTTGAACATTTGGCTCCGCATCTGCAAGGGTAATAGGTAGCAATGGGGAAAGGCCTTTCTAAAAGCCTACAGCCAGCCCAGTTTATCCTTTAAGGACAGTTCTTTTTATGTGCTTAGATCCAAGTGGTTTTTTTTAAGTCATAATCTGCCTGGTTATGTAATATTCTCTTTCCTTAACTTCAAATTGCTGGCTGGGCTTGGTGGCTCTGCCTATAATCCCAGTACTTTGGGAGGCCGAGGCAAGTGGATTGCCTGAGCCCGCGGGTTCGAGACTAGCCCGGCCAAATTGGTGAGACCTCGCCTCTACAGTAAACCAAAAATTAGCCAGGTGTGGTAGCGAGCGCCTGTAGTTCCAGCTGCTTGGAAAGCTGAGGTGAAGGGATCACAGCAGGTTGACCCTGGAGTGGTTGTGAGTGTGCCGCTGCACTCCAGCCCAGGTGACAGAGTGAGATTTTACTTCAAAAAACAACCAAAAAAAAATTGCTAAGCCTCCCCAGAGGATCTTGGTGTCCAGTGACATACTCAAATTTCTGTATGCAAAATTCTTATTTGTCTAATTTTTCTCTGTTTAAGCCTTTAAAATTGTTGTTTCACTTAGCTATAGTTTGTGTGCATTATCAGTGTCTCATGTAGAATGACAGCAAATTCCAGGTGCAGTGGCACCCACCTATAGTCCCAGCTACTCAAGAGGCTGAGGTGGGAGAATCACTTGAGCCCAGAAGTTCGAGACCAGCCTGGGCAACACAGACCCTGTCTCTAAAAGATAATAATAACAGCATTGTTTCCCCTAGACCATGCCCTCCTACTTACTTTTGCCCCCCAAGTGTGGCCTAGCCTCGTGCTGAAAGTCAGAGAACCTCTTAGCATGCTCCTTTCCTATTTCTGCTCCCCACATTCATTATGTGGACTCCCATGCTTGGATTTCTTGACTCCCCAGGACCCACCTTTCATGTGGATCAATGACAGCTCCGTTTTCTGTCTCTTGTGGCTGTGATGGTGACAGAGGTGAGGCTGTGTCTACTTCTTAGGGGTAGCAGGCTGTGAGCAAGTCGGGTGGAGGTGAGTGCGTAGGAAGGAGACAGCTGGCAGGAATGTGTGAAGGGCATTAGCTGAGTGTCCTCAGTGATGCCCACCAGCAAGCCCCTTCTCCACAGCAAAGCTGGATCACACCAGAGAGCCTGAAGAGGCCCTCTCCCTCCCCAGGTCACTCCTGCCACTGTCCTCCTGGAAAGGTGCAGGTTTTGAGCGGCACGGTTGTAGTGCCAGGCTCAGGAACCTGAAGAAGGTGCCAACCTGAGTTCAGCCACTCACCAGACCTAAGGCAAATGACAGCGCCTTTGAAGGGTTTGCCTGATTTGGGCTGTGCTGCCTCACTGCAGGCTCCAGACGTAAAATCTTGAACCCTTGTCTCCTGGGCAGTGTTAGCCTAGCCAGGGATGTGGTGAAAGCGCAGGGTACAGTGGGGGCTGCCAGGAGCGCCGCGGTGTCGAGGCCCTGGCGGGGAGGCTGCCCACTGCGCTAACTGGAGGGGCAACGTGAGAGGCTTGCCAGCGGACGCAAGTTCAGGCACCAGCCTCCTCCTGACCTGACGGGTCGTGAGGACAAAGGCCGGAAGTCCGGGAAGGGCGCCCCCGCCCACCGCAGAGAAACCCCAGGAGGCCCTCTTCTCAGCCAGAAGGCTCGCGGCGAGCTCAAGTCCCCTCCTGCTGTGCTCGTGGACGACAGCCGCCGTGGAACGGCTTCCCTCTGGATCCGGATGCTCCCCTCCAGGGGCCGGCCTCTCGGCCGCCCGCACCCGCCGCCCGGCCCCGGCCCCTGGGCCACCCACACCTCCCGAGGCGTCCTCGGGAGGGCTCGGGCATCTGTCCCCACGGCCACAGCCATTGCTTCCACCTCAGCCGCCTCCTGGCTTCCCTGCCTCCCCCTCGTCCTTCCGGGAAGCCGCCCGAGTCTGACCGGCTTCTTGCGCTTC